TATTATTAAAATAATTATAATATTATTATAATATCATATTATATGATAAAATAATAATATTAGAATTATTAATTTAATTATGATATTATTTATTACAATATTATATTATATTATATTACGAGTTTGAATTTTAAATTGGGAAGATTGTAAATTTTAAATTTCATTAGGGGTATTATGAAAGTTTCATTAAGTGTACTATGCTTATTCCCGCACAATTTAAAAGCTAAAGTTGTCTTTAGGCTGCTTATAATTTTGGCTGTAGATTCTTGAAAAATTCTTCAAAAAGCGCTTTTGAGGATATTTACCAAACACTAAAATCAACTTCTGCTACAAGCAGAAGCTGATTTTAGGATGAAAAAGTAATACCAAACTAAGCCATTATAAATAGGATTTTGCTTAACCCACTAGGTTACCGGGAGTAATTACTGTTTTTCCTGAGAGTCTAGGAGGACTTAATTAATTTAACTTGTTACGGAAATTATTTGAGCAAGCAAGAAGATCTCATGTGTTGGGAATAGTGTCCTAGAAGCATGAGATGTAATAGGATATTTATTATTTAATTAATAAAAGAGTTTATTCATCATTTTATGTGCATATATTTATGAATATTTTATGAATATCAAATGAAAATTCCGTGATTGTTTATGTAACCTTAAACATAGTATATAAGTGTTATATACGAGATGATAGTGTTTAAGGATAATAATCAAAAACATTGTTCATGATGAATTTAATTAAAGTTCAGAATCTTTAATTAAAACATTATTAATATATGTCATTCCCATTTAGAATGGAACGGTGTTATCCACACTGTTAATATGGTGAGATATTGAATGAGTGTATTTTGCTTAATAAGATTTTGTGGAACAAGGACAAAGACACAATATGAATTTCTAATAATTTCCGTTAAGCATAGAAATTTTAATTGAGTCTACCGATGGTCATATATAGGATGATCTTAATCCTGAGTTTTTAACAAACTCCTATTTATGGATTTATGTCTTTTGATTTACTCGGTACGGATTCCGAGACCCTGAATCTTATTCCTTGTATTTTGGAGAAATAATGAAATAGGTAGCTGGGAATGTTATTGTATGAGATGTAATCCATTCCTTCTTGAGAAAGAAGTAGATAAATAATTCTCTTGAGTGTTGATTCGGTACTTGGATTAGTAAGAGCGCTCTGGTTCATGAATGTGTTTTATGAATCACTATCCATTAGAGAATCAATGGTACTCAAGGATGCAGATATAATTAGAGAGGTTAACGGATTCTACCTGACTCTAATTATGAATTATTTATGGAGGATTGATCTATATGTAATGACTATATCAAATAGACACTTCGCAATTTAGAAGTAATCAATGTCTGTAATTTCGAGAGTTCAATTCCAAGTTTATAGTGGAGTAACTATTGGAATTAATAGAATTAATTAATTAATTAAAGTGTTTAATTGATTATTAATTTTATTGGAGCTTGGGATTATAGGTCCATCAGTCCCCGCGTCGTCCTAGTAATTCTACCAGATACAAAGGGCAAAATGGAAATTTCAAAATTACAGAATTCTAAAATTAAACACTCGAAAAATAATTAATTGAGAATTAATTATTATTATTTAAATAATGTGATTATTTAAATTTGAATTTGAACAGATCTAGATTTATCCATTTAAACTTATTTGATAAGTTGTTCAATTTAGAATTCAAATTAATTTAAGTTTGACTTAAATTAGAATTTGAATTTGAGTCAAAATTGGACTACAGGATAAAGGATGATTTTTTATGTTTCTTCCCTATCAGAATTGGCGCCACACACAGGGTTAGAAAACCCTAGGGTGGCCGGCCACATTAGAGATAAGGGGAAGGGATTTTTTGCTCCAAAATTCAAATTGGAAATAGGGATTTGATCCTGTTTTGAAGTTTGACTTCTACTCTTTAAATATGAGAATGATAGAAAAATGGGGAAACAATTTTTTTGAAACATAATTCAGCCCTAATTGGATTAGTGTGGCCGAATTTCTCAATAGCAAAAGAGAGAGAAAATATTTTTCTCCAAAAATTTCACATCGTGCATGCGTTGGTGTTTGTGAAAATTTGAGTATTTAAGAAACCTATTTTGTCTCACGTGTGCCCACACACACGTCTACGTGGAATCAAGGAATTGACGTGGAAGACTTTGGTATTCTAAACACAAACTTGGAGTAAGGATTGTTCGTGGTCAAAGAATTCAAGTTATCATCCGAGTCGGCTTCCAGGTATTTTTCCAGATTGAGTTCTTGATGTAAATTAATGCGATTAATTTATTCGTGCATAAATTAATATAATCTATAGAGTATCTCAAAAGTTTTTTTAAAATTTTTGTTATACACGATCCGCCTCCCCGCCACGCTTCCGCACCCGAATTCGATTCGGGAACCAGCATCATGGACGTACAAAATCCAAGCCCGATGTAATATTCTATCGGAAAGATGAGACAAATACTCTTTAAAGTGCATGGGTCTTAAATTTTTACCACTTGTTCGATTAATATCATTTAATTAAAAAACTATACTAGTCAAAAGAATATTAATAAAAAATAAATGATTAAATATAGGCTCATGCACTTTTAATGGTAAGTTAATAATTTTCTCAAATCAATTTGCACTATTTCCTAATTTTTTTTATATACTAAATCATACAAACTATGAAAGTATACACTAAATCAAATCATCTAACTAGTCAAAATTTATTAGCTAGTGAAAAATACGCTATTTATGAGTAAATACTATATTTACAAGCAAATATAGTATTTATCGGTAGCCAATCGCCAGTTGTTTAAGACGGTCGCCGGCTATCATGACCAAGGGAGAAAGAAGAAAGAGTTGAGAAAAAGAGAGCTGAAAGGTATTTTTAGTTTTTGATAGTGTTAAAAACCTAATCTATTGAATTGTATTATTTATTACTTACTCTAAAAAATTATGTTATAATACTAACCATCCTATTAAGTATGCTATTTCACTCTTTCTCTTTAAAAAAAGAAAACAAAACAAAACAAAACAAAAAAAAAAAAAAAACCTACAGTTCTCCCACTGCGTTTTGCTATAATTTGAAAATGGTTTGGAGCAACTTTCTTAGGTGTATACATTGACAATGGGCCAATTACCGGCCCATTACAGCCCAACCCAACTCACTACCAAGCCCTAAAAAGTTGGCACCCAAAATATCTCAGCCTTAAACCCTCTGCTCATTTACATCCACGTCTGTCTTCATTTCCTTCACCCGCTTAAACTCTCTCTCTCTCTCTCTCTCTCTCTCTCTCTGCGTCACAGACACTTTATCGAACCCATCGAAACCCTAGATTTGCGCCCGGACCTTGCACCTAGGGTTTAGCTATGGCGGAGGAGGAAGTTGCAGCGCCCGAGGCGAGCCCTGCGCCGTTGGATCACAAGCGGAAGCTCGAAGACTTGGAACCCGAAGCCCCACAGCAGGCCGAGCCCACCTCCGACGAACCGGAGAAATCGAATGGCGATAGCGATGCCGCGCCGGCGGAGGCGGCGGATTCCGACAAAGCCGACGCGAAGCGGCCGCGGGTTGATGAGAAGCCTGATGGTTCAGGTACTGCGTTGTACTTGTACTGGTTCAATCTTGGTTATCGTGTTAGGTTTTTTTTTTTTTTAATGAATTTGCTGTGAGGATAGTTTCGATTCGAACTAGAAATTTGCTTGGAGATTGTTGAAGTTTTTGATAAATTTGTTTCTGGTTGAGAATAATTTCTTTCGAACATTTTGTGAACCTCTTTTTTAGAATGTTTTCGACGAAAGTTGGTAAATTTATCTTCAAGAATTCGAAAAGAAACCGATCTCTTTCTTCCATGAGACATGATTTGCGGAATATAACCAGTATTCCTCTATGTAGTTAAAGAAACAATTTTCTTGAAGTTTAACTGCTCGATTAAATTGGTTAGAAAGATTTTCTTCCAATACGTGAAATTTGATTTGTGGCAGTTAGTGAGAACGGGCACAAAGAAGAGAAGGTAGATGAACCCGTGAAGGACAATGGAGATCAGCCGGTTTTGGAGAGTAGTGGCTCAGAGGAAGCTCAACCTCAGTCTGAGGGAACTGCAGAAAAAGTGACCGATGAGCAGCCCTCTGTGGATGCCGAACAACCGTCTGTCCAGAAATCAGTCGACGCTGAGGAACCATCTAATGAGGAAACTCAGCCGCATTCTTCAGAGGGTCATCAACAGGTAGAGGATCCTTCTGCGCAGCAAGATCAACCCACATCTGATAATGTGACAATTACTCGCAGAGTAGAGGTTCCGAATAACAAGGTTTGCTTTCCCGCTCATCACTTGCATATTTCAGTTGTGTGTTATTCGTGTATTTGGCAATGTGTTATAGTTGGATATAAAACGTTAGAACAATAACACAAACTGCCAAGTATAGAAGAAAGGCCTTATCATCCGCTGTTATGTGTACACATGTTTTGCTTTGATGTTTTCTCCGCTGCTTTTAAAAATATAACGTGCTTCACTGATGCATTGTAAGTTGTTGCAGGTGGGGGTTCTTATTGGGAAGGCTGGGGACACTATAAGGTACCTTCAGTACAATTCAGGAGCGAAAATTCAAATCACAAGAGATGTTGAGGCTGATCCAAATGCTGCCACAAGGCCGGTTGAGATAAGTGGAACTCTAGACAACATAAATAAGGCCGAGAGGCTTATCAGTGCTGTGATTGCAGAGGTTATTTGTGCTTCCTTTTCTTTCCTTCTTTCTTCGCTTTTTTCTTTTGGCACCAAGCGTCTTTCCTAAACTTAGCTTGGCCCATTTCCTTCCACTCTAATTTAAGATAGATAAAATTTTTGTTTGGTATGTGCTTAGTCAATGTATTTTTCTGCAGGCTGATGCAGGGGGTTCTCCTTCCCTTGTGGCAAGAGGTCTTGCTGCTTCTCAGGTAGCAGCAGCTACAGAGCAAATTGAGATACAAGTTGCAAATGAGAAGGTATCAATTAGTTTAGCTATAATTATTTTTCTCTGCAACTGTACTTTTTCAACACAGGTTTACTTAAAAGTTACTGGGCCAGGTTGGTTTAATCATAGGCAGAGGTGGGGAAACTATTAAAGGTCTGCAGGCCAGATCAGGGGCACGCATCCAGGTAGTTGATATCGTATGCCTTGCCTTGGATTTTAAGAGATCATCTCCATCTTTTTCCTTTTAAATTTAGAAGATGTCACTTTTTTGCCCTTTTCAGTTGATACCCCAACATCTTCAAGAAGGGGACGAGTCTAAGGAAAGGACTGTGCGGGTGACTGGTGATAAAAGGCAAATTGAAATTGCTAGAGAAATGATAAAGGAAGTTATGAATCAGGTTCGTCATTGACCTTATTGCCTTTTTTCTAAGAAAATGCTAGTTGGCGTCTGAGCTGTGGTTCTTTATTCTAGTTATTAAATGTTTTGTCATTATAATATCCAATGTGCTCTTTTAATCATGAAAACATGTGCTAGCTTTGGATTCTTTATAATTTTCAAGGTGTGCTTGGGGGATATTTAGTAAGGTCCTCTTGATCATTGCTGCTTTTCTCTTCTTATTATGTAATTTAATATGAATTTCTCTGTGATATGTATACAAGTATTTTTTTTCGCATCATTAAATATGACCTGTCCATCTAGTGTTTGTTTTCTGTGTTGTCCAGCTTGTCACTTGTGTTTTTCACGTCTTCTTTTCATTTCTTGATGTATAGAACAATGATTCTCATGTGGACGTCAGAATAACTTCGATCTTTTGTGCTGTTATTTTTACTAATTTTATGATAACTGAATACAATAAAGAAGTATGTTGATGTCAAGTTCCCTAGTTATGCTCGACGAAAGCTGCTCTATATAGGATATTTTGTTTGAAGATTTGATAGTATGTTGCAGGGTATCAATTATTTTAGTGGAATACAAATTTTTGTATAGGTCATTCTAATCTAATTTATTCCCGTCTTAAATGTAACGTTGAATGAATGTCATTGTCTTCAGATTTATCTATATCCAATGCACCCCATTTTTAAGAAATTCTGGAATGAGTCTGGTAGAGCATAACTGTTGTGTCATTTACATTTGGAAAGCAACATATGTGGTCTTTACATGATTGCCTTTCGTAATAATTTCTGCCTGTCACTCTACTATTCGAGGAAGATTTGTTTCCTCATATACTGTGGGAGTTGGAGCTTGTTTTTCTGAACATAGTGAGAGTATGCAATATTGATGAATCATCCATGCCAAGGTCTCTTGAATGCTCTTAGGAAGATCATATATTCAATCCAAGATGTCGGTTGCCATGATTTATTTATGTTGAAGGTCCCAATTTCGAATTGGTTGGCTTTAAAACTGCAGATTGGGTATTGCCTTTTCCATGGGGTCAGCATTGCTTTCTTGGTGTAGCAATAGACAACCTCTTTTTCCTCTCGTCCACTGAAGAAAGGTATCAGGCATTTAATCTCGCGATTGCAGGATGTTAATAGTTGGTAAGACTGCTTTGAGACCTGAAAGTTAAAAAATCATAATTCAGTAAGACTATTGCATTAACCTTAGTGCTTATAAGCATTCCCAAGATTCGTGTGTGAAATGTGTCTGGAATCCATAGTGAAGAAACGACATAGAAATTTTGCACGGGTCAATGCTTGTAAATTGTGTTGACCTAGTGGTGAGGCATCTACAGTTAGCTGATATATATATACATAAATATTTATATATATATATATGTATATGCATACGGTTTTGGAAGGAAAGGACAATTTAATATACAGTTGTATGTCATAAACGGATGTTGCTTTGTCGGGAAACCTCGAAGTTTAAGTTCTTCAAACTCTAATGCTTTCTTTCATGGAACTTCATATATCTTTCCTGGAAGTTCATATATCTTTCAATCGTGGCATGTGTTTCTTCAGTCTTTGGGTTGTTTCAACGTAATATACAAGTTGTTTGCTGAATATGATATCTCATCCCTTCCCTTATTACATGTCTGCCATTCTTTGGTTGTTTTGGTTTCTCAGAAGGGATCTTATATGCTTAATGACATATGAGCGGAATTAAAATAAAGTACAGAGGGGGCCACGACTTACTGTTATTGATGGAATTTATATTTGATTACTCGGAAAAATTCTTTCTTTTGATGTCAGAGGGATCATTTGATGAAAAAAACATCACATGTTTTAGTAAATAAGTTTTGGATTGTTGTCATGATGAATTCTAATGTGCATTTATTGCTGCTGCTCTATTTTCCAATTCAAAATCGCAATCCCCCCCTCTATTGATACTTTTGTGTAACTTCAACTTCTTGACAAAAATAAAATCATGTTATTGCGTCATCTCTCTCCAGATGAAGGTAAAGGATTTTTGAATCACTAAGCTGCTTGCAGATCTGTGTGATACTTCTTATAATTCATATTGTTCTATAAGGACCTGAGCGCATTGTGTGAGCATAATCAAGATACAGAATGATTTTGAATGGTAGGGGTTTTATAAGGTTGATTTCACTTGAGGAACAATGTTGGTATTAGTACAAGGATCTGGATAATAGACGCAGACAAACATGTTGAGTAATTATGCTTTTATTTTCCATTTTATTTAGAGAGGGGAAGATATACTGACGGCCTTATTAGTTTCTTAGGAGATTATGTAGATAGTTGTGAATTTTGTTACCAGTCTATCTTTCTTTATGAATAACTGTCTAGTAGAGTTGCTTATGTTTATTATCCATGAAATAACTTTGTTTTGGATTTTGCTCTCTTACTTTGTTTGTCTTTAGAACTTGAAATATTAATTTGACATCATTTCTGTTAAAGTATAAAATTATTGTTGGCCCACATCTTAACAGCTTAAGCTTTTGGGATGGATTGGTAAACTAATATGGTATCAGAGCGGGAGGTCTTGAGTTCAAACCCCCGTAATTGCACTCTTTATCCCCATTTAAAATTGTCATCATGTGTTGGGTTTTTAATAGATCTCGGGCTTAAATAAATATTCACATGTTGGGCTTTCCAATTAATTTACCCACACGATTGCTCATTGTCCAGCCCACACGTGAGGGGAAGTATAAAACTATTGTTGGTCCACCTCCTAACAGCTTAAGCTTTTGGGATGGATTGGTAAACTAACAATTTCTTTGTGAAAGTATCACATTGTCTTCATGCTCATTTAGTTCAGTAAAAGTTGACGTGAAGGAGACCCTTCAGTTATATGAACTCAAGACGTGGTTACCAAGTTTAAGCACCGACTCCTATATTCATTTCTGCAATTTAATTCATTTCCTTGGATAATGTTGAAGATTTTTTTTGGGTGCATTTTATAACTATATCCTTTTTCTGATTTGGTTGTGAATAGACTGTGAGGTCATCATCCTTCTCCAGTGGTTTTAATCAGCAGGGCTACCGGCCCCGTGGACCCCCTGGGCCACCTCAATGGGGTCCTCGAGGTGGCCATGTGGCGCACCAGAACTCGTATAATTATCACCAGAGAGGGCCATACCAGTCTCACAATCAACAGTATCCACCTTCATATGGAGGTTATCCTCAACAAATGGGTCCAAGAAGTGGCTTTAACTCTGGTTGGGAGCAAAGACCGCCCCCCAGCATGCATGGGATGCCTCAACACGGTGGTGGTTACGATTATTATGGACAAAAGGGCCATTTATCGGATACACACGGAACCGCCCAACATTCTGCTCCAGTTCCTCCATATGCTCCTGGCCCTTCTCCCAACCCTGCGATGGGGCCCCCGCAATCCCAAGCTAATTACAATTATGGACAGCATCAGGGTCCAGAGTATGGCCATCCAGCACCTTATTCGCAATCGGCTCATCCTCAACAAAGCTACAGTCATGGATATGATGATCATGCTCCAACACAGCACCAATATGGGATTTCTCAGCCATATCCACACACTGGCACTCCAACAGGCTATGGGCAACAACAGCAGTATGGTAGGCCACCATATGGTGTGCCATCCCAAGGGCCGCCTCCCCAAGCTTATGGTCCTCCCAGGCCTACTCAACAACCCGGAGATATGCCTTATCAAGGTTCGGCACCTGCCCAATCATATGGTCAGAGTGTGCCGTCTCAGCAGCCATATCCATATGCGTCTAGTGGACCAACACAGCAAGCATATCCTCCGTACGGGTCTGCTCCAGCTGCTGAGGGGTATAACCAGCCACCACTGGCAACTTCAGGCTATCCTCAGCAAGGAGGCCAGCCGGTTGCAAGTTATGGCCAACCTGGTTCGCAGCAGGCTGCGGGCTACCCACAAGGGGGTCCCACTGCAGCGTACGGGCAATACCCATCATCACAACAAGGTTATGCCGAGCAGTCTGCTCCGACCACTGCAGGTTATGGATACCAAACAAGCCAAGATCCTTCATACGGGTCTGCACCTGCATCAGCTTATGGTGCACAACCAACCGCGCAGGCGGGTTATGCTGCTCAATCTACACAGGCTCAGCAAAGTTACGATCAGTCAGCTCAACAGACTGGGGCTTACGGTGTTCAACCAAGTACTACAGTTGCTTATGGAAAAACTCAATCACCTCAACCTCAGCCTGGTTATGCTCAATATGACTCGGCGCAGATGTATGCCGCGCCTCATTAATTTATGGTATTCTATTTTTTTTTTTTTTTGGGCATGGTTTAATGGAATCTATCGTCTAGTATTAGTTTTATTTGTAGGCCTTCTACCTGACACTTGGGACTCTGATTTCTGTAGTGTAATGTTTTCAACTGAACTAATGAAGTCCAAAAATTAGCTTTTGCTGATAATAAAAGGTCTCATTTTAGGATCAAGGGGCTGTGCGGTCTAATGCCTTGTGGCTTATGGTGAGTTCGTTCTTGCAAGCTCTCTTTCCTTGGGTAGGCAAAAAGTTCAACATCTCCTCGATACTTTTGCATGAGACCGGACCAAGTCTAGCATAGAACCATTTCTGCAAGAATATATCCTAGCATTTTTGTTTTAAGCGCTAATATATCCTAACAATAACAACTGTTGATTTTTTTTTTTTTTCTGTTTTCAAGAATAAATTGTTGGTGTGTAATTGAAAATTTGAGCTTTAAGATTTGGATTTGGCTGGTTTTCATGTTTTGTCGTGGTTGTTTTTTTTTAAAAAAAAAAAGAAGAAAAATTATTAATACACTCTAGCTTAGAATGGTAAATGACTTTGCGATGAGCCTCAATGGATTTTGCAAACTTAAGATATAGTACCATCCAAACCATTGAAGCATGAAATTTAGTTAAAGAAACGTAAAATGTGTGCCCAAATAACAAATAAGCACATTACAATAAAAACAAGACATCGTAAGTGTTTCTAAATTGCTATAAACAATAAATGTAAAGGTTAAGTATTTTCAGCACCAATAGGAATTAAGAAAGAAAAAAGTACTTTTTTTATATTCGTATTCGAGTAAAATAACAAAATGAAGTTTTTTTATTTTATTTTTTTAAAGCACATTATTATATATGGAATTGGATCGGTTCCATTTACCTCTGCTGGTTAGATAGGACTTAGGATTCAATTGGATTGGAGTCTCAACCCTAAATAAATGTGGAATGTGATTTTTTTTTTTAATGGTTTGCAGAAGTAAAAATCTACCGGTCCCTGGCTATGCAATGGACGGTCGTTATCAGTCCAGTCCTGAGTTCTTAATAATAGAGACCCCTGTAAGTCTGTAACCGAAAGCTACATATTGAGTCGTCTATCTCTGACGTCTGATATTAAGCAAGGTGAATTTGCCAGTAATTTTTAACCCAAAAAAAAAAAAAAATTTGGAGTAAAAAATGTGCTAGATGAAAATAGGCACTAGTATCGGAAACTTATGATTGATACTAAATTTTTATTTATTTGTTTATTTAAAAAAAAAAAAAAAGAGGGCTGAAAAGTAACAACACGAAATATGATGTGTCAAACACTGTGGATGATGAAATGAAATGAAATGAGAGCACATGATGATAGTCTTTAATTGGTTTTAGAAAAAACCTTTTCAGTGCTATTACCAGCTCTTCTTTAGACTCTTTTAGTGTCCATTTTAATGATTGTAAAGTAAAAAAGGCATGCTAAACAAAAACATATCCCGTCTAAAACAGTTCTTTTAAGTCTTTTCTCCTAAACTGTTTTAGTTTGCTTGCAGAACCATGTATTGTTTTGACGTGTATGACTTGTGTTCTCTAGGTTTTTTTTTTGTTTTAACGCTGTGTTCTTTTTTTCACTTTTTCTTTTTCCTTCTGTTCTTTTAGAAGAAAACCATGACATTGTGTTGACATTGTAGTCTTGTGCTAAACACCAACGGATCCATGACAAATTGGAAATGAACAATGTTATAGAGTATCAGTAGTGTGATGTAATAAAATGAGTCTCAAATGTTATGATAACATTATTGTTGTTACCAAATATTTTTAAGAAATATTAGAGTCACTTATTTCATTAATATCTTTCTCACTTTCTTTGTTTTACTTTTGCCACATGTCATTCCACTTTTCAATAAAAATGAAGCAGAATAATAAATCTTAATTTTACATTTTAGGACAACTCTGCCACTCTTTATACATAAAAATAAATCTATTGTTTTTTTTTTCTCTTCCTCTTAGCCAAATTGTGGACTCAAGACCTCTTCATCTAATGGTATTGAGGGTTTAGGTGGGGTGGGATTTAGACGGAGGTTGTGGGTTTAATCCCGTATTATATAAAAAAAATGTGGACTTAAATGGTTAAAAAAATTTGTGGACTCAAATATTATATACGTAATACATAACAATATTTATGTATAAACTGTATATATTTATATTTATATATACATATTTTACTTTCGCGTGTTAACAGTATTTATGTGAAATTAATACTATATAGGGTTTGATCTACCAAAAAATACTAACACGGTTTTGTTTTAAAAAAAGGTTTTATTTATGAAGTGTGTATAAAAATATATATTATATGTTCATATGTAACGAGTTTTGACAGTATTTATATAAAGTATATACTATATTACGGTTTTTCTTTTTTTTTTTTTTTTTGAAAGACGACTTTATTTATGGCATATAAATTCCTCTTTTTTAATTTTTTAAGCTTCATTTTTGCTTTAATAGTAATCTTGTAATATTATAAAGAAGTGATCTTGTGATAAATTATTAACCACTTATTATTAAGAGAGAGAAAAATGGCAGAGTTGTGTTAACTTATAGAATAATGGTTTATCCTTATACTTCATTTTTATTAAAAAGTATAACGATATGTGGCCAAAAAAAAAAAAAAAAACAAAGAGGATGAGAAAAAGAGTGATTAAACAAGTGAACCTAACATTTTCTAATGTTTTTTATACACTAAGAGCAATTAGTGGCTTGAAGAAAATAAATGCATCGTGATTTGGAATTATGACAGAGATTTTTTTTTCTTTTTTTTTTTTTTTTGGGGCGGTGATGTTAGGATGTGGATTTTAAATGTTTTTTAATTCTTCGAGGTAGGTAAACAGCGTCTAAAATAAGGTGCAGGCTTTCAGTAAACTGTTGGCAATGCACATATCTTGTAAGATACGAAAACAGAAGCCTCTGACAAATACTATATACACTTTTGAGACACTTTCTTCATCTTACATCTCATTTACTATCTTACTCTATGTCGTCACTTTCCATCAGTATTAACATCACTACCAAAACCGGAAAATTGTACAGTAGAGAGAAGGGAAAATTAGCACAAAAAACAAAAGCAAAGAAACACAAACAAGTTTTGTTCTTCTCTCCATATTCCTTGATTTGCCTTTTCGTTTCCTTATTTTGAATTTTGAAAAATGCCACAATATAGGGTCAGGTTCTCAAATGATGATCTAATATATCTACCATAAGTATGTCTGTCTTTTTTAGCTTTAAATTACATTATCATCAAATAGGGTTTGGGAAGGCATATACTTGTATTTTTATAGCAGCATGGATGCTTTCTTACTAAAAAAAATTATACTTTTTTTTTTTTGAAAATGGGATATTATATAAATTTTAAGAATTATTTAGCTGACTTTTAAGTCATATCTTTGTTGAGTTCCATTAATATCTTATTTATTATGATTTTATTCGACTAATTAACTGAAAACTATACCTGATTTAAAATGATAGTTAAAACTGCGTCCTACAGGTAAATATTTAAAAATATATATATCATAATTCTCGTGTAATTAATATTAAGAATACAAAATATTTGATACTCTTTAAACCCAACCGCCGAATTTTCTTTACTACATGTTTTAAATATCGAGCATTTTTTTCGTGTTGCATTGCATGTTCTTCTGATCATACCCAATTCCCATTTATATAAGGAGCTCATAAAACATTATCAAATAAAAAAAGAAAAAGAAATTAGAATATTCCAACTGTACAAGCGGATCGAGTTCATACCAAATACATCAAGAGGTACTAGAAGGTGAAAAGAATAAGAAAAAAAGAAAACTAAAGAAGAAGTGTACGCTTCATAGAGTGAGAGTTTCATATATTCATATATATATTCTCCTTTTTTTTTTCCACAACAAATATGGAAAAACCCCTAAAATATTGGGTTAATATTACAAATACAAAATAAATGATCAAAGTAGACTAGGCAGTAGTGGTATTGATCATCATCAAGGATTGAAAAGAAAGTCCCCACACTTGCATTTCCAACTCATGGGCTTGTAGTTGGAGAAGTCATCACCTCTTGAATAAGTCACAAAATTCTTGGTCCTTTTTGATCTTTTACAATTAACTGAGCATAATAGTTGTTTGAAGCCACTAAAAGAGAAGAAATTATTTGTGGTTCTTGATCTGCTCATCATGTGGTGGTTTTGGAGAAGTTGCGGCACCACTGGGACCTGCACCGCCTCGCAGGGCCCACACCCGCTGCACCGCCGCTCACACCTTGGTGGTCTTGACCCTATTTGATGTGCTCTTACTACTACTCTTACCATTTTCTCCTCTTCCACATGCCCTTCTTTCTGTTCAAAAATAAAATAAAATTCCAATATTTGACATTTTCACTTAGTTAATTGGCTCCTATAATTTGATTCTACAAATGGGATTATTGCAGAAATTAAGATTTTGATTAATTTTTATATGGATTATTATGGTATATAACTAACCTTGGCAGCCTCAATGAGCTTGGAAATTGCTCTCCCTGTGATATTAACAACGAGAAAACAATTTTAAAAGATAAGGGTGTGATTTTGATGATAATACTTTTGCTAGATAAATAAAGTAGGGTTATATATATAATTGACCTTAATAAGATAATTACCTTCAACCATGGATATTCTCATGTTATGGTGGCTGGTGAAGCTTGAAACCATGAGAAAGAGGAAAGAAACTAATACATGTCTATTTCTTATAATTTGCCAACAAACACAATATTTGTGGCCGTTGCTCATCATCATTTTTCTCAGATAATGGCCAAGAGATAAGAAAGAGAAGAGAATAAGCTTAGCTAGCTCTAGCCAATGGTGGTAACGGATTCAAGACTCACTAAAAAAAAATTTTAACAAAACAACACATTGAGAGAAGGAAAATGGGTAGGTAAAAATCTAAAAACAACAGCTAAGAGAGAGAGAGAGAGAGAGAGAGAATAGCAGGGCATGAAAAAATGCTGAAAAGTGTCCCAAGAGATGTTCAGGCATTCAATGGCACCTCCATAATGCAAATTTTAATCTTATGATGATCTCTTCTCTTACGTAAAAATTTCCATGAATTTACATATATTGGCACGTGGAATGCAAAAGAAGCTAGCGTTAACCTATTTTTAGTCTGGGCCCCAAGAACAGAAAAGAAAATTATAAAAGATGAAAGAAAAAAACAGTAACAGTGAATAATATCAAATAGGGGAAGAACGTCAAGGGGGTCTTCAGCCTCGTTTGTTGGGCCTCGTCAGAAAAAAAAAAAAAAAAAAGAGACGTACGTACCATGCACAAAAGGGAAACACGGCTTTGATATACGTACAATAGTAGAGACTGTACGAAAATATATAGCAACTAGTTTTCGTGCAGTCTGTGTGATAACGTATAATATTAGAGACTGTATGATATACGTATAATATTAGAGACTGTATGATATACGTATAATATTAGACACTGTATGAAAATATATAGCAATATTAGAGACTGATCACATGATTCATATCACACGTGGCAGTGTCGGAATATTTTGTTCTATTGTAGTTGAAGAAGTTACGAACTTTTAATTGTAATAAAATTAAAATTAAAAATTAAAATAGGTAAAATTAACGAGGCTTATATGTACATTTTTTTTTTGGACAACACATATAAACTGCACATGTCACTAAAATTTCTTATTAGAGCATTTTTATTCATCCTTATGAGTTGATACTCTGTTCATCATAAGTGATCTCACTCGATGATTAGTAGATAGGACCTAACCTAGTAGAACCAACCACCGGCTTTATCTTATGGGTATGAACACCATTTTTGTTCCCATCAATTTTTCCATCATCTCCTTTTCACATAGTCGTTTTTTAAGTTTTATGTTGATGCACAAGTTTATTGTGAGTTTCTTAAAATTCACAAGTATATGCACCGTTTAAAATACAAGTTATCATAAATTCATAAGATAATTCCAATGTTCAAAGTTCTAAATTTTTAAGGAAGAATACGTGAATTATTGTATTTATGGCATCAACGGCGGAAATTCTCCTCTTCAAACATTAAAAAAATAAATTGAAAAAGTACATGGTTTGTCATGGTTTTATTAAGGCTTATTATTTATGTCATTCTAAATAATTAAGTATCATAGTAGCCTTTTATTTTTTTCTTCATTAATTGAATGATATTTGTTTATTTTTTAGTTGAATGGCATAAATAATACTTTTTACTATCTTAAGTGATGTTTTAAATTTTTTGTCCCTTAAAAGTTCCAATTCTCCAATCTCTCTTTTTCATCCATTTGTCTCTTCCACCAAGAATAAAATATGTAATTGTAAAGGAAGTTCCTTCTTTTCCCCTTACATTCATGCAAGGCAAGTTTGGAGATGAAGGAAAGCCATAAACTCATAAATTAGAAGCATATATATATATATATATATACATGACAAAATAAGTATATATTTTTTGTTAACAAAATGACAGAAACAATTGTTTTCTCTTCTCCTATGTTTTGTTTCCACCTAACCTTTGCATTGCGTGCAAAAAGGCAGTGGCTTGTAGGCATGCGGTGGAAGCAAACCTTAGGAAGAAAGGAATGGTAGAATCTCACAATCAGTTAAGAGGCAATGTATGTGGCTATCAAAATACACAAGGCAAGGCAGGCCCGATCACCCCGATCGCAAACTTGACCCGACCCGATCCCTCAACCTCGACCTTGTCCCAACCCCAGTCCCAACTTCTAACCCGACCTACCTCCGATCATAGCCCCAAACCCAAGTCCCCTCTACCTCCAAACAAGAATTTTTGGTTTCCTTGTTTTAAACAACATAAAACAAAAAATAAGACTATCAGACATTTTTTTCAAACGAAAAACTGCTTTTAGGATTTAGAACAGAGCTAAAGCTACTCATATTTAACGTTTTGTATATGTCTAGATAGGGATTAGCTTTGGTACAGTTTCTCAATTCTCGGACTAAATTTGATATAACTTCCTATATTAACACGTTTCATCAATTTATTTGACAGACTTTGACGCATCTTTTTTTTTTTTTT